CGCTGCGTCCCGCCCAGGGCTTCGGGGTCTCCAGGGTGCGAGCCTGGCACCAGCGCTCCGAGATGCACCTGGGAGAAGGGGCGCCCTGACACCCGCTCCCCAGGCTCCGTTCTTCGGGGGTTGGATGCAACAGGACGGGGGCACGGAGGGATCATTATGGAAGCTGGGCGGTGAGCACGTCGGGGAGGCATTACTCCATCCTCTCCACTTAAAAAAATAAATATTTTTTATTGCTCTGGCCAGTGTGGCTCAGTGGATAGAGCCTCCGCCTGGGGACTGAAGGGTCTCGGTTCGATTCCGGTCAAGGGCAGGTCGCTGGGTTGCAGGCTCCCCATCCTGGTCGGGGGGTGCGGGGAAGGCAAGGGGGGGCAACCAATCCATGTGCCTCTCCCTCTCTCTTTTATTCTCTAAAAATCAATGGAAAAAATGTCCTCGGGTGAGGATTAAAAAATAATAGCAAAATATATGGGTTTTAAAAAAACTGATTTTAGAGAGGAAGAGAGAGGGAGAGAAACATCCATGATGAGAGAGAATCATGGACCGGCTGCGGCCCCCACTGGGGATAGAGCCTGCAACCCGGGCACGTGCCCCGACCCCGTGACCTCCTGGTTCAGAGGTCAAGGTTCACCCACTGAGCCAAGCATGTTGGGCCATGCTCGCCACTTCGGTGTGTGTTTGAAAACATCCATGATATAAAGGAGCGGGGCCGCCAGGGGCTGGGAGCCCTTGAGCCCAGCCAGACCCTCTGCTATGGTGTCGGGGTCCTCACTCCGCATCCCCATCCGCCACGTGCTTGCGGGGACCAAGGGGGGGCCGAGCGGGGAAGCCTGACCCCGCCCCGGCAGCACCCTCCTGTGCGCAGCTGAGCCAACCCAGCGTCCTGCGAGATTGTGGGCCTTTACCCCGAGTTCGAACCCAGCATCCCGCGAGATTCTGGGCCCGCTGCCCCCGCGTTGGAACCCAGCATCCCGCGAGATTGTGGGCCTTCATCCCGCGCGTTGGAACCCAGCATCCCGCGAGATTATGGGCCTTTACCCTCCGATCGAACCCAACATCCTGCGAGACTGGGAGCACGGGAAAGGACAGTCTGTGGCGAGACGGACCGCGTTGGAACCCAGCATCCCGCGAGATTGTGGGCCTTCATCCCGCGCGTTGGAACCCAGCATCCCGCGAGATTATGGGCCTTTACCCTCCGATCGAAACCAACATCCCGCGAGACTGGGAGCACGGGAAAGGACAGTCGGTGGCGAGACGGAACTGTGAGTTTCGGGGGGGCGCCTGGTGAGAAGGGGGGCTTGGGCAGAGGGTGCCCTGGTCCCGTTGCATGTGTGTCAAGTGTCCGCGGCTTCGGTTTTAGGCCAGGTGGGGGCAGCCGTAAGCAAGGGGGGCCCTGGCCCCGAGTCCTAGGCCAGGGCGGCGCAGTGGGCAGTGGCCATGGGAATCGGCTGGGTTAGAGAAGGGAGGTGGTTTCCAGGTGCCTGTCTGTGATCCGAGCCGGGCATCGCAGCAACTCGGGCGGGCTCTCTTCACATGGAGACCCCCAGGCCCAGCCTTGGAGACATGGGATCGGGGGTCAGGGGTCAGGGGTGGGGCCCAGGAAGCTGTGTTTCACAAGCTTCCCGCCGGGGACCCCACGTTGGCCCTGCAAGCTTCTGGGACCTGCTGTACCTGCAGG